ACCTGCCTCCCCCTGACACCACCTGCATCCCATGACAACACCTGACACCACCTGCCTCCCCTGACCACACCTGCCTCCCCAGACAACACTTTTCACCACTGACACTACCTGCCTCCCCTGACAACACCAGACACCACCTGCCTCCCCTGACAACACCTACCTTCCCTGACAACACCTGACACTACATGCCTCCCCTGACAAGACCTGACACCACCAGTCTTTTCTGACAACCTCCAATGTGAATAACTTCCAACACCTGCCTCCTGACACTAAACCCCTAACTGACACCACTTGCCCACAGACTCCAAGCCTTACCTACCTTGAGGTTACCTTGAGGTGCTTCCGGGGTTTAGCGTCCCCGCGGCTCGGTCGTCGACCAGGCCTCCTGGTTGCTGGACTGATCAACCAGGCTGTTGGACGCGGCTGCTCGCAGCCTGACGTATGAGTCACAGCCTGGTTGATCAGGTATCCTTTGGAGGTACTTATCCAGTTCTCTCTTGAACACTGTGAGGGGATTGCCAGTTATGCCCCTTATGTGTAGCGGAAGCGTGTTGAACAGTCTCGGGCCTCTGATGTTGATAGAGTTCTCTCTCAGAGTACCTGTTGCACCCCCGCTTTTCAACGGGGGTATTCTGCACATCCTGCCATGTCTTCTGGTCTCATGTGATGTTATTTCTGTGTGCAGGTTTGGGACCAGCCCCTCTAATATTTTCCACGTTTAAATTATTATGTATCTCTCTGGCCTGCGCTCAAGGGAGTACAGATTTAGGCTCTTTAGTCGGTCCCAATAGTTTAGGTGTTTTACTGAGTGGATTCTAGCAGTATCCACCCTCACCAATGATGCAACCTGCCTCCCCTGACACCATTTTATCATCCTTCAACAATTTCTCACTGGAAAGAATAAGTAAGCAAAATATAATACTGTACAACTGTTTACATTTTCATGATTCATAGTTGATGACAGTGGCTGTCATCAACTATGACAGCATGGCCTCGGTGATCGCTTGGACGAACAATCCTCACTTAAACATTTGTATGTTTCACTGAACATTTAGTACTGAATTCAATTTGTTCGGATCATCCGGGAATTCGATAGAGCGGGGTTCATTAGTGAGGATGCACTGTATGTTACTGTCATCAATGTCCAAAAAATATTTTTTTTAGGAATTATTCTTTTTTTAAGATTTTAGTTTTTTTCCTTTGTTTATTATCTGATTTAGTTGTAACCTTTACAGCCTGGAGAATGCATATGTTTTCCTATGTGAAGATTGATTTATTTGTTGACCAATTTCATTCTGTCACAACTTGCAAAACTTGGGACTTTTAATTTTTTTTGGTTGACTTTTTCTCTGATTTCAAACTATTTTCTTTGTCTCTTTAGGTTGTTTTGATGATTAGGGACCATATTAGGACTTTTTCACTTATATAAAGTATACCCTAAATATATCCCCTAAATCATTATAATTATCCCTATATTTTGTGTTTTTTGGGGGGTTATTTTTTCTTGACTTCATTTCGACACATATTGACCGACAACTTTCACATACTCGAGTACGAATGCCAAACAATGTTAATTAAAACATACAATTAAATTAACGAATTAAAACTACCTTTATTCATTGTTGATAACTTCAACTTCAATTATCTCTGAAACTAGAGTTTCAACCTTGAGTGGGTTCTAAAATTCCAGTTTTTGACCGATTCTCACTATTTTAACAATGTCTGCTCAGCTGTCTGCTCTGCAATCCTTTCAGAATGGATTTTTCATAAACTTTTATTCATTTGGAGTTATAATTTTTTGGGGTTTAAATTTGCCGCATACTGTAACCACTTGATTATCCGGGATTCAAACATCCGGAAAACGCCCTAATACGGTCAAAATCGTGACCGGATAAAGTTCTCAATATCCAGCCAAAATGGCCATGGGAGCCGGATAAAAGCTGGTTTAGCCGGAATGAAAAATCGGAACCGGTTAACTTGCTGCCGATGTTACACTATCTGGACAGTCAGCTGGATAATTATTGAATTGTCCGAATATAAAAGCCATGGGTCGGGCCGTACCGTATTAATCCCATCTGCCTGTGGCTCGATGCACGTGGTGGAGGAGGGGGTGGGTGGGTGGTGTTGGGAGAGAGGGGAGCTTTGGGAGGGACCACTTGGGGGGGGATAAGGGGGATGTGGAGCAGCCTATACACTACAGTACAGGAATTACCATTACTTTTAGAACAATTTATTATAGCCAAAATCAAAAGAAATATTGTCTCCACTCGATCAACCGGACTATATGGGAAGGACCCCAGCCAGATTATCACATTTTTCGGATAATGGTACTTTTTCACCTACGAGTCCAAAAGTGACCATTTCCAACTATTTTTATACTACAAACAACATAAGTTGAATTGCTTTGCCACATATAATTATTAAATATTCAACTAGAAACCTCAACTTACCTTGTTGGTGTTCGTCGTCTTGATTGATGCCACACATCTTGAAGTTTAGAATTCCTAGCAATTTACGTAACCTATACTAACACAACACTAAAATTAACACTTAAAATTACTGTACAGTTCATTAAGCAAAGTTAGTTTTGACTGCCAGCTGTTGAACCCTCACTGGTTAAAGGCATTTGGGTTGCCTGTGAGGCCTCACTTGTTGAGGGCGCTTGCTTGCGCCTCACTTGTTGAAGGCGCTTGGCTTGCCTGTGGCGTCTCACTTGCAGAAGGTGCTTGGCTTTCCTGTGGCGCCTCACTTGTTGAAGGCGCTTGCTTGCGCCTCACTTGTTGAAGGCGCTTGGCTTGCCTGTGACGCCTCTCTGGTTAAACAACACGTAACTTGTCTTTAATTGCTACGACTACCTTCTTTCTCTAAACACCTCCAGAACGATTGATGCTGCTACCAGACATAGTCTTGGCCAAAAATTTTCAAAGTTACTATGAAAATAAAAAAGTTATTTAAAAAAACATTTCACTAATGGCACAGCACTGTGGTATAACACGAGGGACGGGAGCACATGGGTTGACCAGTGTTGGACGGGTCCACTTGGGGGCAGTTATAGCACGTTACGTAGGCCGCCAGGAGGAAAAAAACTCAATATTTTTTTAACCCTTAAATGGCGCATAGCTATATACCATTTGACACCCACAGGCACATACCAAAAAAAAAAAAAAAAAATTATTTTTTCTTCCTAACCTGTTAATTTGTGTTCACTGATCACGGGAAAAATAATAAAAAAATCGTAAGTGGCATATATTGCCCACTATAGGGCGGGGAAGTGTGGCAAAAATCAGGCGCTGACTGAGCGTGCGTCCCAGGCGGTCTGTTAATCGCCAGCTGTCAGGCCAGAGTTTCCACAATGAGATAATTACCTAATTATTTCAATGTCTCTGATTGATTTTTTGTAGTTTTTTTGCTGTAATATTATTCAATAGTGTGTAGTGTGATATATTTATATAATAAAATGAGTGAATCATCGCTGTACTCAAAAATATGATGTGCATACTGTTGATTCAATTATGTTCATCAAACAGTGAACAAATACTTTGTCGGTTATTATACTATATACACAGGTTATATATACAGTGCTTCCTCAGTCTAACGAACCCCGCTCTATCGAATTCCCGGAAGAGCCGAACAAATTGAATTCGGTACCAAATGTTCAGTGGAACATACAAATGTTCGATTAAGTGAGGAATGTTCGTCCAAGCGGTCACCGAGGCCGAGCGTCGGAGCTGGCTGTCATCAACTATGATTCGCCAGAGTGTAAACAGTTATACATGTACAGTATAGTGTTTTATTATCCTTACCCATTGTTTCTAGCGAGAAATGGTGATAAAATGGAGTCAGGGGGGGTAATGGTGAGAGAGTTGTTGTCAGGAGGCAAGTGATGTCATTAGTTAGGGTTTTTTGTTAGGGGGCAGGTAGTGTAAGTTACGTATTCTCATGGGAGGCAGGTTGTCAGCCAGGCAGCTGACAACCAGCTGAAATGGTGTCAGGAGGGCATTGGTGAGTTGTTGTCAGGAGGCAAATGGTGTCAGTAGTTAGGGGTTTTTGTTAGGGGGCAGGTGGTGTAAGTTTCGTATTCTCATGGGAGGCAGGTTGTCAGCCAGGCAGCTGACAACCAGCTGAAATGGTGATAAAATGGTGTCAGGAGGGCATTGGTGAGAGAGTTGTTGTCAGGAGGCAAATGGTGTCAGTAGTTAGGGGTTTTTGTTAGGGGGCAGGTGTTGTCAGTGGTAGAAGTTGTCAAGGGAGGCTGGAGTAATACTGTACAGGTACAGTAGTGGTGTCAGTAAAGGCTGTAGGCAGGCACCACATGTGACTGGCAGCTCCTTGCTCCCTCTCCAGCCCCCCCTCCCCACCCTCCTTCCTGCACCTGACCACCAGAGACCAGCCACTACTCCTCTCCTCTCTCGTCGTCAGATGCCAAGAGTCAATTTAATAATAATTATCGCATTATCTACACTGAGAATAGCCTTTTTATTAGAAAAATGTCATATTGGCACAATAATAATGGTGAAAATTGTGATATATACAGTACATATTTTAAACAGTTTCAACACATTTCCTTTTCACTGAATTTTTAATAAAATTGGGGTGTAGATAACAGTTGGCTTTGTGTGGCCGGCAGGTCGCTCCTTGAGCCATTGGGGGGGGGGGGGGGTTTGTTTCCTGGATCTCTCCCTCCCTCCCTCTAACAGCCTACGTACTGTACATGAGGTTTTATGCAATACAGTACTGTACTGTATAAAATGAATAAAACTTCAAAAGACAATATTTTATTAATTATAACAACAAACAATATTATTTGAAAACAATTTGTAAGTCTATTTAGATTAAATTTTGAGTAGGCCAATAAAACAAGCACAGGTCGTGTAAACGTTAGGCCTTGGTGAGGTGGCTGGCACCATTTGTCTCCCCTCCTCCAAGTGTGAAAACGTGTTGCTCGCGCGTGAAGGATAATTTTGAACAATTTTTATCGTTTGAACTCTTATACTGTCAAGATGTCTCAGAGCAGCATTCGTGGTGTTCAAGATTTAAAACGAAAGAGAAAATATTTGTCAATTGATCAGAAAATTGATTTAATAGAGAAAGCAGAGCGTGGATACTCAGTCACCCGTTTCGCCCAAGAATTCAACATCGGTAAAGCTACAGTTTGTGATATAAAAAAGCAGAAGGATAATATTAGGAAATTCGTTACTCAAAGTCAAACTCATGCAATAGGCAACAGGAAAACATTGAAGCCTGCTATATATACGGATTTGGACTCTGCTGTATTCAAATGGTTTACACAGCATCGTGCGAAAGGAATTGCTGTTTCAGTTGATTCTATTAGAAATGCAGCTGAAAGACTTGCTGAAAAGTTAAACATTGACAATTTCAAGGCTAGCACTGGATGGGTATGTCGATTTAAAGAGGCATGGCATCATTAACAAGAAAATTTGTGGCGAAGCCTTAAGTGCAGATGTAGGAAGTGTTAATGCATTTAAATATAAACTTTCTCAGTACATGGTATCTAATAATCTAAGCTGGTTTCAAGTGTACAATGCATATGAAACAGGCTTTAACTGGAAATGCCTTCAAAGAAACACTTTGGCCTCTAGGCTTGAGAAGAGTATTCCTGGTCGCAAGGTAAGCAAGGAAAGAATTTCAGCATTATTGTGCGGTAATGCAGATGGCAGTCACCGAACAAAGTACGCAATTGTTGGGAAATCTGCCAACCCCAGAGCATTGAAAAACTGCATGAACAGATTACCTGTCGTTTACTACAACACCAAAAATGCCTGGTTCACACAGATTATTTTTGAAGACTGGTTCCAGAATCACTTTTGTAAAGAAGTAAGAAAGCATCAGATCAATGAGCGTGGCATTCGTCCTGCTGATGTAAAGGCAATGCTGTTGGTTGATAATGCCCCAGCTCACCCCATTGCTAAATTAACATCGCCTGATGGTAAAATAACATGTATGGCTTTACCACCAAATACTACATCTTTAATACAGCCCATGGATCAGGGGGTTATCTATGCTCTCAAACGGCTTTATAAGAGAGCTATGAATGTAGAAATAATGGAAGTTCTGCTCTCTCAGGAAGACGAGAGGCTTAATAAGGATACAAGAGCTAGTAGAACACTAGAAAACTTTAAGAAATATTCAATTAAAGACGCTATTTACATCTGGGCCAAACAATGGAACGAGTTGAAGGTCACCACATTAAAGAACGCATGGAATAAAATTCTGAGTCCAGTACCTGGTGAGAATGAAGACGAAGATGACTATGATTTTGAGGGCTTTGATAATGCGATTTTTGAGACATTAAGAGATGCTGGCGAGGAAGATTTGCAACTTTCTGATGTGACTGAGTGGTTAGATAATGATGCTGATGATCCAGGTTATGGTAAATTAACTGATGATGAGATTATCCAGTGTGTTACTGGTAATGCTGATGAGGATGCGGAAGAGGAGGAAGATACCTGTAGCATGTTACCTATTCCATATGCTGCATCATTGCAAAACCTTAATCAGCTGCGTGATATGGTTGCTGTAACTGATGATGAAGACGTGGCAGATTATTATCTACACCTAAGGGGATTGAAAGATATTATAATGAAGAAGCTCATAATGAAGAAACAAACTAAGATTCAAAAGTTTTTGGTACAGCTTAACAGTAGGCCTACAGGACCAGCACCCAGCACTAGCAAGGACTCACCTGAAGATGCCCAGGCAACTGGACCAGCACCTAGCACTAGCAAGGACTCACCTGAGGATGCCCAGGATACTGTACCAGCACCTAGCACTGCAACCCGTTCTCACACAAGACAGCACATATATGACTTAATGCTTAAAGTCAATATGTTGAATATGATTTAGTACATATGTGATACATTTCCAGTTACCTTTTTTACCAAGGCCCAAACTCTTCCTCACGTACCAATTTACGTGTCACAGTACCCGTCCATCAACATAGATAGCAGAATATTCGTGATTGGTTCAATTATAATGAAAATTGTAGTTTTCAGGTCCCACATGGGTTGTGAAATTTACCTACTATTGTCAATGCTCTTAGAATATTACAGATCAGCTACTTCCTATTGAAGGCTCGTAGTTTTGTTTTGAGAAATATTAGTTGTTCTTAGTAAATTATAATAAGCACTAAAAATTATTACATAGAATAACAGTCCTTCACCAATCAATATTATATACCATAGTTTGTGCTTTACAAATCTTTAAAGGATGTTTTGTAGGAACGCTAACAGAAAACGATGTTATGTTGGAATGTTTATGGGGTAAACTACTGCAAACTTGGGGATCACTTCCACCCACAGGAAGGGAATGGGGTCCAATACCATCCACTGGATGTGTATGGCGTCCACTACCACCGACAGGATGGGTATGGGGCTCACAACCACCCACAGGATGGGTATGGGGTTCAATACCACCCACAGGATGAGTATGGCATCCACTATCACCCACAGGATGGGTATATGGGGCTCCAACCACCCACAGAATAAGTATGGGGTCCAATAACACCCACTGGATGTGTATGGCGTCCATTGCCGCCCACAGGATGAGTATAGGGTCCAGTATCGCCCACAGGATTAGTATATAGAGTCCACTGCCGCCCACAGGGTCGGTAAAGGGTCCACTACTGCCCACAGGGTTGGTAGGGGGTCAACTGCTGCCCACAGGGTCGGTAGGGGGTTCACTACCGCCCACAGGGTCGGTATGGGGTCTACTGCCACCCACAGGGTCGGTATGGGGTCCACTACCGCCCACAGGGTCGGTAGGGCGTCGACAGGGTCGGTAGGGGTCCACTGCCGCCCACAGGGTCGGTATGGGGTCCACTGGCGCCCACAGGGTCGGCAGGGGGTCCACTGCCGCCCACAGGGTCGCTATGAAGTCAACTACCGCCCATAGTGTCTGTATAGTGCCCACTACTGCCCATAGTGTTATTATGGGGTCCACTACCCCTCATAGTGTCGGTATGGGGGTCCATTACTACCCATAGGGTGTGTCTGGGGTCTATTTTTTTCTGTATAGCAGAGGTGGACGTTATTATAGACGTTATAGCAGACGTTATTATAGAGTAACGTCATCCCTGTTCTTAATTTTTATGTTATATTTTTTGACTTGTTTGCTTGCACTGTACATAGCCAAGGAATTGTCTGTTTTTAATTTGCTTTCAGTTTAATTAAAGTTTCAATGTTCATACTATGTGTTTTGTGTGTAGTCCCTTACTTTACCACAGACAACAGCCAAGCAGTCGATCTTTTTTTTCTTAATGTGATAGGCATTGACACCAGCCATTAGGAGGACTGCCGAACATCTACACTCCTTCAATTTTCTGTCACATTAAATAGGGGCCTGTCCGGGAGCCTCACTCAGGTACTAGTACTAGAACATCAATTTATGGTAAGTGTACTTGGCAGTTGCTTTTCAATATTTTCATTACTTTTAATATTTATATGGTGCTGTGTGTGTATTGTGCATTCCAAGAGTAGCATATTGTGAGTGTTGGATAACTTTGGATTACGTGGTGACTGAAGGCCTCAGTCATTCTCTTAACCCTTACACTGCTCAGGGGTCCTTGGGACATTTACACCCCTGTGCGCAAGAAAAAAAAATTCAAAAAAATTTTTTCCGTCTTCTAAACATGTTAATTTGTGTCCCCTGAGCACGGAAAAAATAAAAAAAAATCGTAGGTGACATATTTTGGGCGCAATTGACCGAGGAAGTCTGGCAAAAAGTGGGCGTTGACAGAGCGGTCGTCAGACCCGGTCAGCGTCACCCGCGCTGACAGATGGGAGTTGCCACAAAGATATTATTACCTAATTGTTTCAATGTCTCCGATTGATTTTTTCTTAGTTTTTTTGCAGTAATATTATTCAATAGTGTGTATTGTAATATATTTATATAATAAAAGTGGTTAATAATCGCTATACTCAAAAGTATGATGTGCATATTAGTGATTCAATTATTATGTTTATAAAACAATAAACAAATGGTTTAGCTGCTATTGCACTCTATACACAGGTTACATATAAGTATCTGCATGTTTTGGTCACCATAACGAACCACTAAGTTGGTATTGAGAGTCGAAAAGCAACGAGGAGTTACCGCCACACACCAGCCAGCCACTCGCTGCCACTCCCTCAACACACGCACTAAACTTTCTCCCCCAACAATACCAGTTGTGGTGTTATTACACTATATACAGACGTTATATATAAGTATGTGTATATTTTGTTCACCACAACTGTACAGCTAAGCTGATATAGTTAGTTCAGGCACTAAGAGTCGTCGCTATACACAGATGGCGGCTGGTGGCTACCTCACTCATTCAAGGTCACACGCACTAAACTTTCTCCCCCAACAATACCTTTTGCAGTGTTATTACCCTATATACACATATTATATATAAACATCTACATGTTTTATGCACCGTAACTGTACACCTAAGCTTGTAGTGCGCCCAAAGAGCATAGTGGCCACTCTCTAAACAGCTAGACAAATCGTGCAGACGACGTCACCTCCGTCACCCATATGGCTCCTCCCAGCATAATCCTTTTGCTGTTATTACACTAATACACACATTATATATAAGTATCTACATTTGTGTTCACCATAGAGAACCACTGACCTGGTATGGTGAATGCAAACACCAAACAGGTGGCCACACAGTCAGTAAACAATGCTGTCTCCCTCCATCTCTCAGCATCACTCCTCCCACAGGGCTAATTATTACAACAATCCTGCTATTATCACAACCCTGGTTATTTATATCACAGTCATTGGTCATCTGTAATATTGTCATCGCTAAATAATAACAATTATATATTTATTTTGACATTTTTCGGCGATGCTGTGGTCACAAGCTGAACCTCAATGCTGTTCGCTCATGCTGCGTGCGCCGGCCTTGGTTGCTCCAACAGTACTGTGCCTCTCACACCTGAGAATATTACCCACGATATTTTTTTTAAATGGCATCTGTTTACAAGAGCCCTGAGGAAGCTACTGTGAACCCCGTGTAGCCGCGGGCCATTTGAATCAGGCCTGGCACCCTATGGCGTATATATACGCCATGCGCACCATGGGACATGTTACTCAGGGCGTATATATACGCCATGCGCAGTTTAAGGGTTAATTGGTCATCCCTCCCTCCGTGTTATTACTCGTGTTTTCCACCTTTTGTCCCTAGGATATTTCTCAATCTCGACCAATCATCATTTTGGTACCCTGGTACTTTGATTTGTCTTCGGGTCAAAGCACCCTATCTTCTGCAATCCAACCGAAGGAGGATACAGAGGGCCATAGTTCCTCTAGCACGGACTAAGTTGCTGAGTTGGAACCTCAACAGCAGTTCTCGTCACCAGTTGACACTCACACCCCTACACATCGGTCAGAGATAATGATATTTACTTAGGTAGGGAATTAGCTTCCTTTTTTCAGAGCACAAAGTTCGCTAATTCTGTAAGTATCATATTTCATTTAGTGGGAAAACCCTTGCTTCTGTCCTATAGAGACTCAGCAAGGTATGCCTACATTCTTGGACTACTTAATTCACTTTTAAAACAATTAAATGTTTCATTTGTTTTAGAAACTATTGGTTTCATTTATTTAGTAGGATTTTCTTGCCCTTATTCTCTTACATTGAGTACCAGGTACAAGATTTCCTGTGCTTTTGATTGACTAATCATTTACCCTACTAAAATTAACGTTAATTGTTAACGATTAAAATTCCACAGGATAGTTACCAGTTGCCACGTCATCCTGTTACTGACACTTACCATATCACAAGTATATTCAGTGTACATTTATTTGCTATTTTCACCATGTTTCGTCTCCCAGCTTTCCGTAACGATCCAGCAGGTGAAATAGGGAACTTAATTCATGCCAAGAAGACCGAATTACAAACTCTTGCACAGGAGTATCAACTAGATGTTCCCCATGGAGCCAACAAAAATGACTTGCACAATTTAATATTGGATCACCTCTTAGATGAAGGGAAGATTGACTCGGAAACTCGCGAAAATTATTCTATTGCAGATAGACATGCCCTGGCAACTATGAAGTTGAAGCTCGAACTTGCAAAAATTGAACAGGAACTACAAAAAAGAAGCTTACAAATGAGGGAGAGAGAGGCTGCCATAAAGAAAAAACAACAAGAACGTGAGGCGGCCCTGGCAAAAGAAGCTCTCCAGATAAGGGAAAGAGAGGTTGCAATAAGGAAAGAAGAACTGGAACGTGAAGCCACCCTCAAGGAATGCGAGATGGCCCTAAAGATAGAAGAGACGGCCCTACTCCAAGAGCGTGAGCGAGTACAGCTTGAAGCAAAACAACGTCACCTGGAGATGCAATGCGAACATAGTAAGAAGCAAGCTGATATGATTCTAGCATGTCGTCAACAAGAACTCACGTTGGAAACTACACACCACACTCAGCGTCAACAAGTTACAGCTAGTCTTCCCTGAAGTTTCAATGTCTCCCATGTAAGTTAATGCCACCATTCGTTGAGACAGAGATCGATGTCTTTTTCACCACTT